ATGTCCATGAATGACTGAAAAATTGTGCTGAACACTGGAATTTGACACAACATTGTAAAATGATTTTAAATCAATAAAAAATGTTAAAAAAAAGAATATGATGACATAAAGAGAAATACAAGAAGATGGTTTAAGATTTAGTTTTTCTTACAAGTTTTTTTTTCTCCTCCTTCTTCTCTTCCTTTCTTCCTTCCTTCCTTTGTTAATTTTATAACCAGGGAGGACTTGCAACTGAAAATAAATTTCTGAGCAGGTGATTAAATGGTCTCCCTGTCTGGGTTGAGATTTATACTTTCTTACCCATCCAAGTCTCTTTGGTAAGAGAAAGCAGCACTGGGTAAGCATGTATGTGTACAAAGAACTCCCTAGTCCAGTGGCCGGATATCTTCTGCGGCTCTCAGCCATGTATCCAAGGAGTCGTGGGGCAATTAGAAAAACAGTAGTGTCTGACGACTTGGTTGCAGTTCAAGAAAACTGTAAAATAAGTTCCTGGCTGTAAGCACAGTCAAGAATCATCTCCAGACGTGTCGTTCTACAAACAGCACACTCCATCTTGGTAACATCATCCAGCAATGAGTTATTGTAAATTCCTTGAGATCTGGGACAACTTTGATCCTCTCTGGGGCCCAGTCCAGAACTGAGTAAGCAGTGAGTGCTCAATAATTGTCTAAGGATTTCTTGATTCTCCTTGACCCCCAGCACCCTATAGATTTAAGTCAGGCCATGTCGATACCAGCAAGCATCCATATAACACGGGTGCCTGGCTAGGAAAATGATTTTTCTGCTACTGTAGAAAATCTGGGCTACAGTAATTTTTTTCTCGACAAATCACACTCACCGGCCATTTTGCTCAGCTCACAAATGCATTTTGTCTGAGAAGACTCAGTGAGAACAAGGCAGCCTTTCCATCTCTCATTCTCAGAATTCTCCAGGTTCTGGAATTCTCATAGCCGAGGGCTGAGTTCTACCAAGACAGCCCAAGCCGACAAACCCGTCCAGACCACGCTGGCACAGTGACCAGTCTAACCGCATCTGCAGGGATTCGCCAGGTTCTGTCGTGTTCTTCACTTGAACAAAATCAGGAATTTTGTTGATGGCAAATTTGATTTGACGCCTCCCGTGGGAAGGTAAAGGCTGGCATTTGGGGATATGTTAATACTCCGTAGATGGTGCTTATTTTCGTAGTGTTCCTGTTTACTTAAACATCTGAGATGTTCATAGAATCTCCCATAAGAGAAGACACTTGTAACACTAAATGTGAGAAGCAACCTGCAGCATAAGGAAGGAAGGCAGTGACAGCCCTCTGACTTGGTCTTTGTATAAAGGCAGAAATTTCTGGAGCAATATACAAGGGATTTTTGACTCAGAGTTCAAGTTCTAGGTCCATCGCTTACTAGCTCTGTGTCCTCTCTCTGCCTTAGCTTTCTTGTATGAAAAATAGGGTTAACAATCATATCTCATCACAGGGTGTTAATGAGATGTGAAAGGTTAATAAATGAGAAGTTCCTGGAACACTGCCTAGATCGTGAAGGACACTATGGAATTATTAGCTATTATTTTCATCGAGTATTCCATAGAAGAAAGTTAGATCTAGAGGTGAGAGAGACACTGTCTCAGACAAAAAAATGGGGCAGAGGTAAATTCTTAACCAGAAGAATGTGACGCCCTGTGTTAGTTTCTTGTTGTTGCTTTAACAAACTACAACAAAATTGCTTCAAACAACAAATATTTATTTCATTACAGTTCTTGAAATCCAAAACAGGTTTCACTGGGCTTAGAAGTTCTGCGGGACAATGTATTTTCCTGTCTTGTCTAGTTTTTGGAGGCCACTGCATTTCTTGGCTTATGGTCCCTTGCTCTGTCTTCAAATCTCTCTCTCTCTGACTCTGACCACCCTGCCTCCCCCTTAGAAGGATCCTTGTGATTCCTCTGGGCCCTGCAAATAATCCAAGATAATCTTCCTATTTTAAGGCCATTAACTTAATCACATCTGCACAGTTGGTTCTGTTTTTGTTTTGATTTGTTTTGCTTTACCATATCTGATAACACACTGACAGGTTTTGGGGATTAGGATGTGGACGTGTTGGGGAGACCATTCGTCTGCCTACCACATACAAATGTTTTGTTTTATTTTATTTTAATTTAATTTAATATACACATGTGGCTGATGGCTACCATATTGAACAGCACAGTATGGTAAGTGGTTTTTAAACAGAACTAAATCATGAAGGGGCTTCACAAACTCCCAATGTCCAGATCCATTAAATTCGGGTGTGGTTCAGGCATCCAAAGTGCAGCTAAGGATGAGAAACTTCAGAATAAGCCAGGATTCTCAAAGCATGGTCTGTGAATTGATTTCATCGGAATCAACA